AAAAAAAAAAGTCCTTCAAAATGAAGGCAAAAAAGAGGTGATTTTGAAGAAAGAAGAGAATTTGCTCTACAAGAAATGCTAAAGAAAGTTCACTAGGCTAAAGAGAGATGACACCAGCTAAGAGCCCAGATCTCCAGGAGGAATGAACAGAACCAGAAATAACAAGTATAAAAGTAAATATAGAGAAATTTTTTCATTCATTACTTTAAAAGACAACAATTAAAGCAAAAATGATAACACTGTATTATGAGGTTTATAAAGTATCCAGTTGAAAAGTATAAGCCAACAATAGCACAAAAAAAAGGGTTATAAATGAAATTATACTGTTCTAAAATGCTTACATTTTATGCAAAACAGCACAATATTAAGTCTAAGGATACTGTCACATATTAGGTCTACAAATTGTAATCTCTACTGCAAAGTCTCACAAAACAATACAAAGGGATTGAGCTGAAAAGCCACTACAGGCCCCAAGTGAAATTTTAAATTCTTGGATTTAACCAAAAGAAGGCAAGAAGAAATAAAAGCAAAAATAAAAGACAAATAATAACTGTTCTAAATCAAACTATATCAATAATTACATTAAATATAAATACACCAAATACTGTAGTTAAAATTCAGAGATTGATAGACTGTATAAAAAAGGAAGACCCAAATATATACTGTCTGAAAAAGAGACACTTTAAATATAAAAAAATTGATAGGTTGGAAGTAAAAAGTTGCACAAGATGCACAGTGCAAACAGTAAGTTTTATAAAGTTGGTGTAGCTAGATTTACATTAGACAAAGTAGACTTCAAAACAGAGAAGATTGCCAGACATAAAGAGATACTTCTCTAAATGAGAAGAGTCAATTTAGCAAGATGATATGACAATGTGCTTGCACAGAAGAGCAGTTTCAAGCAAGTGCAAAAAGAAGAAATAAACGCACAATTATAGTCAAAGAGTTTAACACCTCTCTCTCAGTAACAGATAAAACAATAAGTCCAAAACTCTATGCAGATATAAGTATTTGAACAACACAGTCACCTTGACCTATTTGACGTTGATAAAATAACATGCCCCAAACCAGCCAAATACAAGTTCTTTTCCAGTGCACATGGAATAGTTACAAAGGTAGACCACGAAACATGTCTCAGTAAATTTCAAAAGATTGAAATCTTATACAATATGTTCTCTGACCTCAACAAAATTAAACTAGAAATTAATAATAGAATATCTAGAAGAGCTACAGACATTTGTAAATTGAAAAGCACACTTCTAATTGACCCATTGATTAAAAAAAATTGCAAAGGAAATTAGAGCATATCTAAACTAAATTTTAATAAAGACACAACCATAGCAAAATTTGTGAAAAACAGTAAAAGCATAGTTTCAAATAAAATGTACAGATTTAGATATTATATTCTAAAAATGAAGTTTTAAAATCAATGATATAAATTTCCACCTTCATTTTAAAAAAAAAGAAGAGCAGGGGCGCCTGGGTGGCTCAGTCGGTGAAGCGGCCGACTTGGGCTCAGGTCATGATCTCGCCGTCCGTGAGTTCGAGCCCCGCGTCGGGCTCTGTGCTGACAGCTCAGAGCCTGGAGCCTGTTTCAGATTCTGTGTCTCCCTCTCTCTGACCCTCCCCTGTTCACGCTCTGTCTCTCCTTGTCTCAAAAATAAATAAAATGTTAAAAAAATAAATAAAAAATAAAAATAAAAAAAGAAGAGCAAATTAAACTGGAAGGAAGTAGAAGAAAGGAAATAATAAAGACAAGCAAAAAGCAACAAAATAGAAAGCAGACAAACAAGAGAAAATTAACAAGTCAAAAGTTGTTTCTTTGAAAAGATTAATGAATCAATACACTGCTTAAAAAACAAACAAAAAAGGCAAGTCATAGACTGGGAGAAAATATTCACTATAATAAAACTTTTTAAAAAATCATGGTAAGAGTTTAATAGACATTTCATAAAAAAAGATACACAAATGGTCAATAGCACATGACAATGTGGGAAATATCATTGGTCATTAGGAAAATGCAAATTAAAATCACAATGAGAGTTCATTTTACAACCACCAGAATGGCTACAATTAAAAAGGTAAACATTGCCAATGTTACTGAAAATGTGGAACAAATGGAACACTGCTACATTGTTAGTGAGAATGAAAAATGGTACAGCCACTTTGGAAACCTGCTTGGCATTTTTATTGAAGTTAAACATATATTTGCCATATGATCAAGCAATTCTGTTTCTAGACATTGGCCCAAGATAAATTAAAAAATACATATCCACAAAGACTTGTACACAATGATCAGAGTCTTGTACACAAGACTTTCACAAATGTGAAACAACCCGATGTCCATCAACTGATAAAGGGATAAACAGCTGCCATAATACTGAGGAATATTTCTGAGTAGTAAAACAAGAATTAAGTACTGGTCCACAACAATATGGAAAATCTTCAAAAACATGTTGAGCAAAAGAAGCTGGATACAAAACAGTACATACTGTGTGATTCCATTTATCGGTAAACCAGTATACATTAGTAAATTGGTAAATCGGTATACATTAGTAAAACTAATGTATAAGATAAAAGAATGGTCGTGTCTTTTGGAGCGTGGGGTAGAGATTGGCTGGAAATGCACACAGGAAATTTCTGGAGTGATGGGAGCATGGGTTACATAAGTTTACATGTTTATCAAAAGCCACTGACTTTTACGCTGATTTGTGAATTTCAATCCATGTAAATTTAACTTTGATAAAAGAATTATAAACGAAAATGAAACTAGTAAGTTGGCTCTTTCCAATGGTTTGGGCCCAGAATCACCTAAAGGTGATTCTCCTGTGATACTACTTAAGAACCACTGTTGTATCTTTACTGCTGCTACCTTATTTCAGGCCATCTGTCTTCCAGCTTGCTCTTTTAATCTGTTACCTACATTACTGCTAAAGAGACCTTGCTACTCAAGCTGTGGCCGGCAGACCAAAAACATTAGCATCGGCTGTGCAGCATCTCAGACCTCACCCCTGACCCACTCTGCAATTTCACAAGATCCTCAGGGGGGCCTTACGCACATTAAAGTCTGTGAGGCACTGACTTTTGCCTCACCAAGGCATGGCGAAGCTTAAATACAATATTAGGTGAAGGCACAGTGGCCAGCACATAATAGTGATTCAAAAA